AAAGGTAACAGAGTAAAGATATAACCTACAGAATGGAGAAAATATTTAGAAATATGTATCTGATAAGGGGTTAATATAAAAAATATGAAATGTTCATTTGAGGAGGTCTATTTCTCCTAATGTAAGCATCACCAACGTATACTTGTATTAGAGTATTACATGGTATCCCATAAATACAACTTTTTTTTTTAGTGTTTTTATATATTAATTGAATTTTAAAAACTCAGTTCAGGGCCAGGGATATAGCACAGGGCCATAAATGCCTGCCTGGCAAGCACAAGGTCCCAAGTTCAATCCCCAGTATCGATAATTAACTAACAATAAAAACAACTCAGGTCAAAAAAAATTTTTTTTTAAAGAGGAAAATATCTGAGTAGACTTTTCTGGAGAAAGGCTACAGGTGCAGTGGTGCACACCTGCGGCCCGGCACTAGGCGAGGCTGAGACAGGAGGATGGTCAGTTGAGGCCCTGGGTCAGGGCAGGGAGGCAGAGAGGAGCCTGGCTGCCATCCCAGGGCATGAGAGAGAGCAGATCAGACCACGGGCGTGCCGTGGCGCCCCGCTCGAATGACTTGGAGACAAGGAGCTCCTACACACTGCCAGTGAGAGCATCCGTCGGTGCAGCCAGCAGAGAAGCAGTCTGGAGCAGCCCGCTGCGGGCGCTCGCATCCCGAAGAAGGGAGCAAGCGGGAGAGACGGCATTCGAGCACCGGTCACGGCCGCCAAGCGCAGAAGTGCACGCGTGGCCGTTAGCAGAGAACTAAAATGCGCATCTGATCATGGAATACACGTGCATGAGGGGCCGCAGGCAGACACTGGCAGTGTGCACGAACCCGGGGATGCCACGTCAGATGAACTGAGCACAGACAAGCACCCTGTGGTCTCGTGGGCCCCAAGGAGGGCCTGTGGGCAGGCGGGTGCTCGGTGCACAGTCTCGGCCACGTCGGCGCACATGCACAGCCACGCTGCTGTCAAGGGTTTTGGATATTCTCAGCGGTGACCGATGGCTAAGTGGATGGATTTGCCAGTGCTGACTGGATCACTGCCCAGTGTGCTCTGGAATCAGAGCCACACAGGTGTCCCACAGACCATGTGCGCACAACCACGGAACAGACCACACTATCTAGTGGGGTGCTCTCGTTGCTTGCCCTCCTCCTCTCTCCCCAGCCTGGTGACTTGGTGTCTGCCCTGGCCCAGTGTGGTGCCCCACACCTGGGCTCCTTGGAGCCTTCAGGGCCTCACAGGCCCTAGCTATAGGATGCACAGGGCCAAGGTGGACCGCAGGGCTTTGTCGCAGCCGAGCCAGGTGGGCCCTTCCAAGGGACGGGACACATCTCCAGCAGCTTCCTTGCTGTCCTGCATCCCCGCTGGCAGCTGCTGGTAGACACAGATCACTCTCCACAGCTCTACCTGGAGGCTCCGGCCTCTGCTCTTCCACCCAGCGCCACATGTGAGTCCCAGTCCCTGCTCCGGGGCCAGTGCACCTCTTCCATTGTCACATCACCTCTGAACTGATCCCTGTTCCTGTCCACCACAGTGACCATTGCAGGAGCTGCCTCTCCCCGACCTCAGATGTGAGCCCAGTGTCCCCAGTGCCCAGCCCCCTGCCCCTCAGCCCTGCTCAGTGTCACTTTTGAAGTCTCCCTGCCCCTGCATGTCATCCACACTGGAAGCTAACAAAAGAAACAAAGTCCTGCCATTAGGCTTCATGAGAGATGACACTGAGTGACAAGGAGCACCTACCCTGACCTCCATGTGACACCTGCTCAGCGTGATGCAGAGGTCCAGGCTGACCAGGGCATCAGTCAGCATCTGAGTTCTGGGTGCTGCGGGGCACCTGGGTGCCGGGAGGAGAAGGCTGGCTCGGGGGCGTGCAGTGACCAGGAAAGGGAACCTGTGTTCAGGGTGACAGGATTCCCTTCCCACCAAAGTCAGCACTGACTGGGCCACCAGGGAGGGCACCACAGGTGCTGGACAGATCTGGAGGGACCCTGAGCCCTGAGAAGGTGGCACTGCACAGCAGGTTCCCATGGCCCAGGGCCCCTCCTGGCTGTGCACGCAAGGTAGGGTCCAACCAGACCATGTCAGAGGGCGTGGCAGGCCTGGCAGAGTCCCCAGAGGCTGGGGGTAGGGGCTATAGGGACACTGATGATACCAACACAGGGATGAGAAGTTGGCACTTTATTTCAGCACAACAAAAGTTGGCACAGCAAAGCCACAGCAGTTTGGGCCAATGTGCTCTCCAGACTGTACCCACACGTGACATTTGAGCACACCTGCTCACACATTTCTGCAGGGCTCTTGACACCCTCCTGGAGGATAGCTGTGCCACCCCGCCTAGCGGGCATCCACCCCTTCACAGTCCAGGAGCTCCAAGGACGGGGGAGCTCACGTCCTCCCAGGAGTTCAGACCCCCCAATCTGCCAGAAGCTGTGCTTGGCCAAGCTCTGGCCGCCTGCAGGAAGCATCACCCACACTAACGCCCCGGGGCACCCAGGCCACTTACCACGCTTTTCCAGCCCTGGCAGGGAGTCCGCTGGCCTGGGGAACACCACTGCTGGGATGCCCAATAGGAGCCTGGCTGTCTTGTGACAGGCGCAGCCTTTGCATGGGCCAGGAGCTTCCCTGGGATGGCCAGGCCCCCGGCCCTAGTGAGCTGTCTGGGCCTCTGGATCCTCAGGCCTCAGTGGCCCTGGCCCTGGTCATGGGTTGGGCGCCCCCTGCTGCCCCTCAGCCTGGTGCCTGCCCTGCCCCGTTCACCCAGCTGAGGCACCTGGGAGGGGACGGGAACGGATGCGGCAGTGGGGGATGTGGGAGCTGCAGTGCAGGGCTGGCAGCAGCATCCTCCGCGCTGCCTGGCTCCATGCCCCCAGAGCTCACCTGGACAGAAAAAGTTAGGTTACCAGTGTCCCCCAGTTCCGGCTGCTGCTGTGTGCAGACCAGGCGACAGCCTAAGGAAGGCCAGCGTTTGCCCAGCGCAAGAAGCCCCATGACAGGTATGGCTCCCGCAGTCGCCGCCTCCTTTCACACTCAAGGCTATAAATACTCTCAGGTGCAAACGGCAGCACTGCCAGACGTTCATCATAAATTACAGGTCGATGGTTCTGAGGCTTCAGGCCCTTGGGAGAGTATTTCAGTTCTTTAGAAAACAGAGAAGTGAACCTGATCAGGCCGAATGGGTGTGGTGGCTGGGGCCAGGCAGTGGCCCTGGTCAGCAAATAAAGGCAGCCGCAGGTCAAGGACTCGGCCCCCAAGCAGGGCGCCTTCACCTGCTCCCTGCCAGGCTGCACCCTCTGCATGGCAGTGAAACAAAGCGGAAGGCCCAGCTGAGATCTTCAGCTAGCCGCATGTCCTGGGTACAGCCCAGGGCCACGCACATCACCACGCGGCCCGAGCCGTGCAGGGCAAGGCCTCTGGGCTCCCCGCCACCCTGTCCTGGTAAACCAGGCGCACAATGCAGAGCTGCCACGCGCGACAGGGGCCCTGAAGGCCACACAAACCTCTCCTGCCAGAAACTCCTGAGCAAACACCAGGCACCAGGAAGACTTCGAATTTAATATAATAATAAGCCCCACCGTGGTACAGAGCCATGAACTGCATTTTCAATTCCTAGGGCCACTAATGAGCACCGGGCTCCTGCTGGGCTGTTGTCAGAATAAACATGCAGAATCGATGGCTATGGTCACAGAAATGGATGGCACTTGGCCCACACCTGCCATGTGGCTTACAGTGACCACTCCGTGCCACCACGTCACCCAGGCCACTGGCCACCACACGGGAGGCAAGATGATAACAACAAGGGAAAGCAACCCCTAATAAGGAAAACCTCCCAGAAGGAGCCAAATTTAATTTTCGGCTCCGACACCTTTCTTCCCAGTCCGAAGGGAGGCCCCTAATTGAAGTCTGCAGCAGGACGTTCCATCTCTTCATTACCCAGCGGCCTCCGCGCGCCGGAGCCGCACACGGCTTTCATTGTAGCTCACGCCCTCCTTCCCCGTGGCTCCAGAAAAGCTAAGTGATTACAATTTTGTTATCTTCTAAATTAAAGAGCAGGTGAGGCTGACTGGGTCAGAGCCTCGTGCACAGCGGTGTGGCAGCTGTGGGGACGGCATAACTACTAAGCAATTTTTCCCACAATTCAAAACTCTTTTTTTCCTGGCCAAGGAGTCAGTCTAACAAACACATCCCACTCTTGCTGAAAATAATTTCTTTTCCCAACTCTTCTAGAAATAAAACACTTTTAATGTATTTGTCAGGAATCGACACTTCATTTAATGAGATCTAAAAAGTGACAATTCAAAGAGCAACAAAATGAGCCCCACTGCCGCCACAGACTCCTAACTGAAATGAGAACAACAGAAAAAGTCCTCAGCACACAGGAAACACCGAGCACGTGTGGTCAAGGTGCTCCCGGCTGCTGCAGGCCAAGTGCCCCTCCCAGAGCCACTGTGAGGTGGCTCTGAGGCATCCTTCTGCTGTCCCCAAATGCAATAAAAGGGCAGCGTCTCCAGCACAATGCACTCCATTCTGTGCTCAGAGTGGAACAGCAGCACTGCGGTACTGTGGGGCTGTGTGGACAGTGGCGCCACTGGGCCGAGGAGCCACAGAGCCCCATCCTCTCCGCCCCTCACACCCGGGCACCACTGCCCGCGTGCTGGCTCCAACCCAGTTGGGCACTCTTGCTTGGTGTCGCTTGTCTAGCCCGTGTTGGTCCTACTGTGAGGCTGCCAGGCCTCCCTTGACGCTCGCTGTGCACTCCTGTTCCCTGGACATGTGGCCCAGCCCTAGAACACCTGTGCTGTGGCCACCCGGCCCAGCGGGGTACAGGGGAAGGTGCAGGGCCACCTGCTCTGAAAAGCCCATCAAGACAGAGCTCTGTGCTGCGTGCGAGCATCCACAGTGGCAGGAGACAATAGGGAGGCCCACGGAGGCAGCCAATCCACGTGCAGGGACGCAAGAGCCACCCTCACCAGCTGCTGGTGCAGCCCCATCACCCCTTGGAGCCATGCCTGTGGGTCAGGGTGCTTTGGGATGTGATGTAGAGCCACCAAATGACAAGTTGCCAATGTCCCCAGAGCCAGGGCCCTGGACCACTGCCTCCCAGAGGTCACTGGGCCCAAGTATACAGCCTCGCTGTCGGACAGTCCCAGCCAGCTAGGAAGCGCTGAGTGGGCAGCACGCCTTGCCATCTGGCCACGGGAGCTGGAGCCCACAGAGGCAGCAGAGGCCCGGGGCGGAGAATGCTGAGGCTCAGCGGGGCTGCAGGCAGGGTCAGCAGCGGTGGGATGTCACTGGCGACACACGATCAGCGCGCGGCTGCAGTCAGGGAGCTCCTTCTGGGCAGACTGGGGGCATTTTTCAGAGCTGTGTTCCCAACTTGGGTGTGTGGTCTTGGGACACACAGAGGCCAACACATGGTGGCTTCGGAGCCTACTGGGCTCCTGTCCACTGGGCGGAAAAAAATGGGAGGACGAGGCCTGGGTCTGCGAGCGTTCTGAGCATGCGCACAGGCTGGGTGCGGGCCACAGGCAGGTCTGTGACTCAGCAGCGAGCCCTGACTCCAGGCTCATCGTCTCCAACTTCCTTGGAGGAGTTCCCTGGTCAGACCTGGTGCCACACAACCACCAGCACTGAGAGGAAACTCCACCCTCAGAAGGATTAGAACGAGCAGTTTGCTGCTGGACTACTGCAAAAAGAACTGGAATACCTAGGATTCAGCAAGTGGAGAATAACTAACAGGAATAACAAAATCATTCAGTTGCCAGGGCGCTGTGTTCCATACGAGCAAACGCTGTGGAAACCCATTTCCCACAGGGCACCTCAGGTAACAAAGGCCTAGTGCGCCCTCTGCTACTTCCTTCTGCTCCTCGCCTGGGAGGGTCAGAGAGGGAAGGTTTCAACGGGGGGCTCGATGCAGAGCAGAGCTGCCTTGTCCCAGGGCCAGCCTGATATGGGCAAGCCCAGGGGACACCTCAGCCTCTCCTTAGGAGAAAAGGTCTGCTTAGGAGCCAAGTCTGCTCCCAGAAAGGGCCAGCCCAATCCACAAAAGTCCCTGCCAGGGAGGACACATTCCTGTCACCTGTGCCACCACATTAGGGCATATCTGGCTGTCCCCCAAGCCTCAGGCAGCCATGGTGGGGCTTTCAGAGGTGGCTGGATCTGGGATGTGTGATGCTGGGTTGAGGATTATGGAATCAGCCACTGACCGGTCAGGCAGCGTGCAGGGCGTGGCCAATGGCAAGGCTGCCCTGGGGGTGCACTAGGCACCTGCACACCGCATAGGCTCTAAGGGGACAGAGAGGGTGCTGCCCTCGCCTGCTGCTTCTCTGCGTCACATTGGCTGCCTTCTGCTTTGAGCCCTCTGCCCACCAGCCTGCTTCTCTGTGACGCCCCTGGCACGCCGCCCCGCTGGGAGCGAGCCGCCAGAGCCAGAAACCACCATAAACTATGAGCTAAGTGCACCTCTGTCTCAGCAAGGAGAAGAGCCAGCCAGACCCTGTCTACCACCCCTTTATTGGTGCTGCCGGTGGGGTGAACGCACGCTGGGGCTGGGGCTGGGGCTGGGGCTGGGGGGCAGCGAGCTGGCACCTGCGGCCCGCAGGGCTTGAGGGTCGAGCTGCGGAGTGGCCGGGCTTCCGTCCCCGGCAGCTGGCTCCTCGCCGCGTTCATCCTTCTGGGTGCTTGGCTGCTCTGGACACTCGAAGTGGACGCAGTGGAACACCTGTGAGAAAGAAGCAGCGGGCGGTGAGCACGGCCAGCCCGCGCCCAGGGCTGCAGGGGCTCACGGAGGGCAGGGACCTGGTCCCCACGCCCACCTGGCGGGGTAGAAGTTGTAGTGTGCTTTTGAGTGGCCAGGTGCCACGGCGTGGGTCTCTGCACAGGGCTCTCAGTGGGTCACTCTGTTCGCCTGACTTCTGTCCCCGAACTCTTTCTGTTTTAATTCCTTAACTTTTCCTAGGCTGAAGGAGGTGTGAGCTGTGGTGACGGCTGGGAGTGCCCTGCACTCAGAGCCACTAAGCTATACTTGCCCTGAGCGAGCGGGACAGCACGGCGATTCCACTGTAGTAAGCTGGCACGGGAAGCAGCCAGCTGCCGCAGCTCTGCAAGGACAGCGCCGCATGGGACGCTTGGCACGTGTGCCTGCCCCGGGCTGGGGGCAGCGGGCAGCTGGGCACACAGGCATGGGGGGCAGGCAGCGCCTGGGCACGTGGCCTGGGGCCCTCGGAGGACACTCAACTGAGTCGGATCTCTCAACTTAGAACAAAGAATAACTGACACAATAATGATCGACACAGGACTGACAAAGTTTTACATGTAGCAGCAATTTTTCCAGAAGTATAAAAAATTTTCAAAATTCACTGGCTAAATCCAAAGTATAAACCTTTTCTACAGTATCAGATTTTGTGCTTTCCTCAATAAGCTTCTTCAAACCTATGTTATCAAGTCATGTTATCCAATACTCCTGTCAGTCCTCTTCGCCCCTCTTACACTTAGTTGCTATCTCCTATTTATAGAAGCCACTGTATTGAAGCCCATGATGAGGCATTTTATCTACAGCTCTGCCTAATACACTCTTGTCCACAGCTCCTTGGGGACCACGCATGCGGTGTGCACCAGCGCCAGCTCCATGGCCTGGAGAAGAGATGCAGAGAGGAGGGGTACGTGGTGAGACGCATCCCCAGAAGGCATGAAGAGAGCAAAGCCCATGGGGAGTGGTGCACACCACACCCGCAGATCCCTAGTGAGAAGGGGCTTGGGGACAGTGGAGGGGGCAGCTCACACACAGGCTGGAGCTCAGGGGGCAGCTGGCTTGAGCTGTGCGCCTGAAGGCTGGTGGGGTCTGTGTTCTGCCATGGGGCCTGCTTGGCAGGACACACACTGTCCCTTCCTGATTTGCCCTGAGTCTATCCTGGGGTAAGGCCTGCTGGGGTGCAGGTGGGTAGGAGCCCTGGGGCTCAGGAGGGCTGGGTGGCTGCTCTCTCCAGGGTGGCTGTGGCCCCTCAGCGTGCGCGCCTCCTGCTACTGCAGAGCTGTGTCCACCGAGGAGCCAAATGTCACATCAATGGCAGAATTACGTTGAAAATATAAATTCTGTGCTTACCTTCCTGCATCACTGTTTTCCACATTCCCATTTCAATTCATTTATCAACCACTGTTTCAAATTTCACACTTCAAACTCTAACATGAGGAAGCACGGGGACCGCGTGCTTTCCTGGTCTCCCTTTCCATTTGGGGCAGCAGCTGCGTTCCCCCAGAATGAGCTCATTTGCCTCCTCAAAGGTAGGCCGTTGGCGAGGTCCTGGCCAAGGGCCTTCTGCGGGTGCAGTGCCCCCACTGCCCCTCCCGGCCCTGAGCCCCCCAGACAGCTCCCTGCCTGCGCCCGCCTGCACATGTGTTCCTGCGCGCGCCAGCCAGGCCCACATCAGAGAGGAGGGTCTTTTGCGGAGATGTGAACACCACGTGGCCAGCAGCTCTGGGCACGGGCCTCTCTGCAAACTGCTAACCTGCCCTCCTCCATCAGCCTGGCGGCTTGGAGCTCTGCAGCAGCAAGAGGAGCTTAAGGCAGAGTGACCCTCGGTGCCCCCCGCCTGCCCCTAGCCTGGCAGCAGGGCGGGCTCCGAGGATCACCCCCCCATACAGCTTCCATGGCGAAGGCATGGCCCAGCCCTGTCAAGATGACCCAGTCTCGTTCTGTCCTCACCGCCTGTGAAGGGGGTCAACGTGCTGCGCAGGCCTGGGCCCTCCCCTGCCACGCTGCAGCTTGGTGCCTCCTGGCCTCGCTGTCCCCAGCCCTCTATCGCCCTGCTCTCGGCATCTAAGCCGCTGGTCTGAGCCCCCGCACCCGCTCGCACTCCCCTCGACGCCTCCCGCCCCCACGGCCATCTCTCCTGCTCCTGGGGGTCTCTGCTGCACTGCACATTTCCAGGTAAGCTCTTCCGGGCATGCCCGGGACTGGCTCTGCACTCAAGGCCCCAAATTTCATCCGCCCTTCTCAGGGCAGTAAACACCCTGACTGAGACAGGAGGCTGAGAGGACCTGGGCTGGCTTCCTGCTTCTCTACCAGGAGGTACCAGCCCCGTGGTGGGTGGGTGTCCCCGCCCCAGCCTGCCAGAAGTCGCACAGTGCGCTGAGGCGAGTGCATGGGACGCACGTGCTGGCCTGCGCCCCATTTCCCACGTGGATTTAGCTCCCGGCTGGTAGGCAGCCGCAGTAGCTGCACAGCTGCGTTTAGTCCACTAGCCAATCCGTGTCACAAGTGCGCTCATTCCCGACACACCCACCAGCACCAGAGAGCCTCCCGGCAGGGCGTGGCTTTCCAGGGTGCGAGAGGGGACCCCGCTGGGCTCCCCACCAGACAGCCGTGGGAGGAGGCCCAGGAGCCTAGGGAGAGCTGCAGCCTGTGTCCCCAGCGCCGCACGCACAGCACGGGGCTCCTGGGCGCTTCCACCAGGTCACAGCTCTGTCGGGTTCAAAGGCAGCGCAAGGAATAGTTCCCCTTAAGAAGGCACAAGCGTGAGGCAGAGGTGCCCACTGGTGGGCCCCGGGGCACAGGAGCAGCCGGGCAGCTGGGCTGGAGGGGAGCCTCCTCGCCAGGCGGCAGGGAGCAGCGGGGGGGGGGGGGTGCATCTCACTGCGCACTCCTGTGCCAGCGCGGGGTTCCCTGGGCAGAAGGCACTACGGCTCAGGGGTCCACGCGGCATGCCCCAGGGCCAGGGAACGCTGAGCCTTAAAGGCCAGGCAGCAAGCCACACTGGGGTGGAGGAGGATGGGGGTGGGAGGGTGGTCCCCAGCCAAAGCCTGGACAGGGAGGGGCTTGGGCGAGGGATGGCGGGAGGTAGGGGAGGGGTGAGGATGGGGGCGTGGCCACAGGACTCCTTTTGAGAACTGAGAGCTCTCGTTAAAGATGTTTATGGAGGAAAGGTGAAAAATTCAAATAATGTAAGTGTCTAAGAAAGATGAAAAACCTTTAACCTTGAACCTCTTGATAAACAGCAGTTTACCATCAATGAGGAGTCATTTTTAAAGAAAAGCTAAATAAAGCACAATTTGACAGCAAACTCATTGGGATGAAAAGCTTAGGAGGCGATGCTTGAAGGGGCAGGAACAGCAGCGGGGGTGCCACTGAAGGGCTCCTGGCTCCAGCACAGACGTCACACCCTGGCCCATGCCAAGGAGGGGAACCACAGGGCCTCTGGCATCCTCGGGGTTATCTGGCACCCAGCCCCTGCTCTCTCAGGGCACAGTCGACCTGGGATTCCATCCAGGCCGAGCCTCCCCCCCCATCAAGACACCAACGGGTCAGCACTGAGTCGAGGGGTGGAGGGGCAGGGGCACAAGGTGCCCTCTGCCTGGAAGGCGGTCAGGGCTGGAGGCAGACAGAAACGACGTGGCCTTCGGGCAGAGGGGACAAAAGACAGACTTCTAGACTCTGGGACCCAGCTCCCGCCAGCCCTGCCACCCTCTGAACAGTCTGGCTCGGTCACCTCAGTGAAGATCAAGCCCATCAGCCTTGAGCCATGCGTGACAGTGGTGGAGTCAGCGGCCGAGTGGCACCCAGCCAGCTCTGGGCACTGAGGATGCTAATGAGCACCATGGTGCCTGCCCTCCTTTAGATCCGCAGATCCGCATGTGGGCCTCCAAGGAGAGCCTGTGGCGGAGGCCGCTCCGCCTCTCACAGAAATGCAGGAGGGTGCCCAGGCCCACTGCCCAGAGGAGCAGGGGCCTGCAGATGAGCCCAGCCCGTCCCCCGGTCCCCAAGTCCCATCCCACTTCCTCCTTCCTCCAGGTAGCCCTGCCAAGGCCCAGTCAAAGCCCAGCATCTCTGCTCTCAGAAGCGTGTGCATTCAGCTTCTTTCCCAAACCTTCCTGTCTGTAACACCCCGAGGAAAGGGTATGACCAACAGTGAATAAGGCGTGCAGGGCACAGACACTTCTGATTTATGCTGAGCCATCCCCATGGCGGCCACATCGCTCTCCCTCCCCTTCCCAGCACTCATGCATCCCATTAGCCTGTTTAATTGCTGTGGCTCACAAAGGGGCACCTTCGAGAACCCTCTTCACTGGTCCTTGGATCTCTCCCTGGAGGCACACCGGCTAATCTGCAATGTAGCCGTGTGTACGCATCCACACAGCCTTCGTCACAACCCGCACAATCCTGCTCTGTGCTGCTGTTTATCACACCCTGCCTCGCTCTCTAGAGCTGTAATTCTGACATGTCTGAAGGGTCTGGGCGCTCTCTTCTCCGTGAGCCCAGCACAGGATTTCAGAAGTCACCCGCCCTCTCTTGGCCGGCAGGCTAATTCCTCAGCTGGTCACTGCCTGCCGCCTTTCATTAGCAGGGTTCCCCAAGCACTGTTTGCTGACATATCTTCAAGGTTTTCACAACTACACGCCTCTGCTAATTTTCCCAAGTTGGCCTAAGGGTGCCTCCTGGAATTGTAGCAGAAATTGGGAAAATTTAATAAATGTTGATCAATGATTCTACCTTGCTTTCTGGGTTTCTCCTGAGTAATTTCCACAGACCACTTTCATGCCAACCAATACAAACAGGATTTCTAATCTGAGCTTTCAGCTAAAATCTACAAGGCAACACATCTTTATCAAGCAGACACCTACTTCCTGATGGCTGTCCCTAAGACTCAGGCCGCAGGTCTGATGTCCTGGGAGAAAAGGCTGCGGTGGCCTCACAGCCCTGCTCAGCCCAGTAACCAGAGCTGACAA